AATTTTCAGGAAAGTTGTGAAATTAATGTGCAACAAATTCGATCGTCTGAAAATTTTGCAGATTTATTTACGAAGACGCTACCGACTGCAATATTCAACAAATTGGTACAAGAAATTGGAATGCGTCGGATGAAAGACATAAAATAAAGTCCAAAACAGGGGAGCACATTAATACAAGAATGATGTACTCTTTTTCCTCCACTATGATTTTTTTCCACAGGGTTTTTTCATAATAAGGTTTTAACGAGGCACATTCTTTGTATAAAAGCATCCAAAGGGGAATGTTATACAAATCACGTCGACGTAAACATCATGTGGATGCTTTATCATCTCATTCGTGTATGATGTGTAATGTTTCGTTGGCACTACCGTAGCCATTTATTACCCTTTTATAACTTCTATATATATTGTTGTATGAGAACAAAATCTAATTACATTTTCTTACTTTCTCTCCCTCTCACTGACTCTCTCTCTCTACTAAATTAGGTAATGCATCATACTTAAATACATATATACTAGTACATACATATACATACATATATTGTTATATATTACACGACACTATATATATCTACTTACCATTATTATTATTATATTATTATTATAATCAAACATTTAGTACATATAGGTATTATTTGAACATAGCTACATTGTACATAGATTAAATTTTCAAAATATTATTTTTATCACTTGTTCAACACATTATATTTTCTTTCGTATAATCAGGGGCGGCTCGTAGAAGGAGTAGCAACTGCTAAGACCCCTAATTAATAAATGGTCCATATTTTAGAATATTATTCTATTATTAAATTTTAAAATTAGATTTTAACTTTTAGTTTATTTTTTTTTTTATAATTATCTAATTTTATTTTAAAATTAAATTTTAAACTCTAATTACATTTTTTTTTTCTCTATTTCTTGTTAACCATGTGTCGCTCTATCTTTTCAAATTTAACTATTGTTGTTGGGAATTTTAGCCGTTGTGGCTTAACCCGACAAGTCTCTCGATAAATAAATGAGTTGACCCACTCCCTAGCCCGGCCTACCGGATAGGCCCAACCCTTTAATCCTAAGCTAATCCATTTGCCCAAACCCACCTTAACCTAAACACAATTTGTTAGGTTGTTGATTTTTGATATAACCATGAGTGAGTTTGTTAGGGTGAATAAGTTTTTGATAGAAATTAGGTTAGAGGGTTTTGGGTGTAGATCGGTTTACCATCGAGGTGAGATTCACAACCGATACAGAACCGATTGAGAGTGAGAGAAGAGAGGGTGAGGTTTTTTTTTTGGTCGACTTCCGGCGTGTGATTCCGGTGAGAGTAACCCATTTCCGATGGCCAATTCCGGTGGGTGTCGAGACTTTGGTGTGAAGTGCCGACCTCCAACCTTGAGGCGTGGTTACCTTAGGCCATTCGCACCAAGGATCTGAGCCGATATCTTCCGTCCCTACCGGCGGAGTTCAGAACTGTTCGGAGAAAGAATTGTCGCAGTTTGGGTCGTCGATTGAAGAAGGTGACCGGGGCTGACATCCACTGTTGCGTCGTTGGTCCATGTCGTTGATAGAAATTGTTGTTGTTAAAGTAAAATTGCAGTGGATCTCGCGGTGCTGAATGAAACAGGAAGAAAGACGAATTGTTTTCCCAATTTGTATTCTCCATTGAAGACAGGGAAGTTTACTTTGTTTTTCTTTAAACTCATTCAATGAATTGATTGTTTGTGTTTTATTGATAAAATCCAGATTATGAACTTAGCCTTTATGTTTAATCATTTTCAATTTTGATTCGGTTTTAGATTAATTTGGTTTTATTTGAATTTCGCTTCCGCTATTATTAATTCATTATCGTATTTTATGTACGAGGTTTGTTCGATAAATCCAAAGATCCGGGAATAAATAAACACAACAGTGGTATCAGAGCCCGACAACCGATTCTGAAATTGAAAGAAATTTGGTTCGAGTGTGGTAGGACTCGATCCGTGGTAAAAGGCTAAACCCTCGTCCTTTTTTTTTTCGGTATATTATTACTCTCGGTGAATTTTTGTGAATCTTTGTGAAATTATTGTTAGATAATATGCTGAATTTCTTTGTGTTGGTTGGCTATGCATTTCTTGGTGTTTGATTGGCTATATGTTTCTTGGTGATTAGATTAGTGTATAATATTGGAATTGATTGTTATTTCCTTGTACTTTTCCTTGGTGATATTTATTGGGAGTTTTTTGTTCCTTGATTCAATTCTTGTTATGTTTCTTGGGTTATGTTGATAGCCTTGTGAATTTTTTGTGTTAGCCAAATTATTAGAGTATATGCATGTTTAATCTTCTTTGTGTGTTAGATATGCATGCTTTAGTTTTTCTTTGTGAGATAGAAAATTACATAATTAGGTGTTAATTGGAAAATGCCTAAAAATAATAAATAATTTGAGGATAATCAGGAATAATTTGTTTTGTTGCTTTGTGTGATTTCTTGGTAAAAATGCACAATTCTTGATTTGTATGCTATGTGATTAGTTTTTTGCTATGTTATATTTTGATTGATTTCTTTGTGATTGCGCTCCCGGGTTTTCTCAGTGGTAGTGTTCAATCGAATTAGGTGCTTAGTGTTTTGCTTTTCGTCTAGTCGCTTAGTGTTCTTCTAGGGTTAGCTTTGTTCCTGTTGCTGAGTGTTTCTCTAGGTTTCGTCCTAGTTGCTTAGTGTTCTTTTAGATTTCCTTCTAAGTTGCCGAGTGTTTTTCTAGGTAGGATGTCTGAGTGGTTGTGTCTTAGGAGATCTTAGTGTTAGTGGTCGATTGATCCAAGTTCTTAGGTTGTGCTTAGCCCATAGAGGTGTGTGCTAGAGCCGTAGAGTTTGGTGCCTAAGGTTTTCTTTGTGTCTAGTGCTAAGTGTTCTCTAGTAGACGTCAAATAAGGTGGAGCTCCTATAATGTGATTCTATGCTTTTTGTATTCGGCATGTGTTTGTTTTTTTTTTGTGAATATGCATGTATGTTGCTCGATTGTGTAGTTATATGGACTATGTGCTAGGGTGCTATGTGATCTATCTAGGTGCATGTCAGGATCTATGTGTTCTATGTGTGATGTCTTTTATCTGCATTAATGTTTGTTCGTAGATGCAGCGAGGGACAAAAGACGGTGATGAAATCCATTGGTGCTAGATAAGTCTATATCTAGTAAATACGTATTTTGGGATTTGGTTAAATCAAGGCCAAAATAGGTGGAGTATGTTGGGAGTTTTGGCCGTTCGTGGCCTAACCCGACAAGTCCCTAGATAAATAAATGAGTTGGTCCACTCCGTAGCCCGGCCTATCGGATCGGCCCAGCCCTTTAATCCTAACCCAATCCTGACGAGGTCGTCAAAAGCGACGATGAACCTACACCACCAGGTCCGATTACTCGAAACCGTGCCAAGAAGTTTTAAACTAATATTATAGCATTAATTCTATACTTGGAAGAGGAGAACATGCATAAAGTTGAAGCATGGAGGCCAATGGGAAGAACGTTATCAACATTGGAGTACATCCACCCTTGAAGACCACAATTTATAACACCCATGGGAGTTTCTACTCACATCATTACCCATGTGGGATAAGAGGTGTTTTATTTTATTTAATAAAGTGGGTCCCATCAATCTAATTAATTGGACATCTCTTATTTACTTAATTAGTGAAATATAAATAATATATATTTTTGTCCCACATTGGTTATAGAGTCTTTTTCCAAGCTAGCCTCCCCTATAAATAAGGCACTTGGGTTCACTTGTTAAACACCTTGAAATTTATATCAATTAAAGTTTTTATCTTTGTTCCATTATATTGGAATTAGTGTGTGAGCGAGGGTTACCCTTGCATACGCGTATCATTCTCAAATCGGGTCCTTGGGTTGATTCTTTGGGTTCGTGGCTTCCGAAACCGACCGGAGTTTCTAGCCAAATCGTTCGAGTCTCCATTGGTTTAGAGGTGTTAGGTCTAGGCAACGCTTGGGTTCGCATCCGATCGATTGGCGAATCGGACACCGGTAGTATCTTTCCCTTTCTTACTTGGTTTTTTTATTTGAATTTAGTTTTAAGTTTCGGTTAGTATAGTTTAGTTACTTGGACTGTGTCATCAATTTGGTATCAAAGCCCGTTTTTATTGGAATTCTTATTCCGGTAGTATTAGTAGTCTTTATTTCATATTATTAAATTATGTTAAGATCTTTTAAATTTTTGTAGTAGCATTATCATTGTTGGGCAAAATATATATATATATATTGCAAAAAAAAAATGCAGAAAATTAAAACAAAAACAAAACTGCAGAAAATTAAAAAAAAAATACTGCAGAAAATAAAAAATAAAAAAAAATACTGCAGAATTTTATTTTATTTTTTTTAAAAAAATACTGCAGAAAAAAATATTAAGAAAAAAAAAGAAAGAAAAGCCCTCTTTGAAATATATTGTGATTTTGAGTATTGTATCTATTTGTTTATTTGTGGATATCAGTTTTCTTGCGGTTGTGCGTTCATTGTTGGTTCGTTACTATTTTTGAGTTTGGCTTCTTGGGGTACACTCGTCAATTTATATTGCTTATATTCCGTGAAGTTTAGTTGGCTATAATTCGAGGGGCTTACCAAGGACCGTGAAATTTGATCGCGTGTGTAAGACGGAGAGGTACATTACGTGGGTATACACGAGAGGGTGAGGAAATCATTTATCTAACCATCTATATATATATTTCCACTATAATTTTCTATGGCAGGTGAGAAGAGTGACGAGGAACATGATATGGCATCCGCATCAAGTTTTGACCCCAAAATGTTAGTGAAGGATATGATGGTGGAAGTACAAAGGGTACTTCGACATGAGGTTGAGTGACTCCATGCCCAAATAAATAAATTGAAAACATCGAGAGTAGAAGGGAATGCAGCCCCTCCACGTCCCCACATTGGCATTCCACCTCTAGGACGATGACATCCCGAGAATGCTCCAAGGCATGAACGAGTTCGTGATCTTCTTGAAGATGATCGTGACATGACCGAGTATGATGGAAAAGTAGAGAGCAATGTTTCTCTTCGAGGACGACGAGGGGCACATAGGAGAGATGACAATGATCTAATTCGTTCTATGAAATTTCAAATCCCACCTTTCTACGGGAAATATGATTCAGAAACATATCTTGATTGGGAGCGGAAGATTGAGCTGATCTTTGATTGGCAAGATTTGGATGGTCCACAAAAAGTCCGAGCTGCGGTCTCCGAGTTCAAAGATTATGCCATTCATTGGTGGGACAATATTTGCCTCAATCGAAAGCGAGGTGGAGCACCGATGAGTCAAACATGGGAGGAGTTGACACTTGTCATGCGAGCTAAATTTGTGACGAGTTCGTATACGCAAGAATTGCATGTTCGACTGCAATCGATGAAGCAAGGAAATAGGACAGTCGATGAGTTCTACAAGGATTTGGAGGTGACTTTATTGCGGGCTGATGTTCGAGAGAGTCAACAAGCCACGGTAGCGAGGATCTTGACGGGGTTGAATCGAGACATTGCTGACAAAGTGGGATTGTATCGTTTTGATGATATTGATGAATTGGTGGAACGTGCTATTACTATTGAGAAGCAATTGAAGCGGAAGGGCAAACAGAAAACATTTGGTACGAAGCCCTTCATACCTAATTATACCAAGAAGGATAACAAAACCCAAGTGGCCCAAGGGTTCGGTAAAGGAAAAGGTATTATCAATGATGACACGCCACGGAACAAGCATGTTGGAGCTGATCCGGAGAAGCCGAGGAATCAAGATATCATTTGCTTTAAGTGTCAAGGTCGAGGCCACATTGCAAGTCAATGCCCAAACAAAAAAACGATGATCCTCAATAAGTTTGGGGAATACGAAACAAAATCTGAAAATGAGGAGGGGGTTGATCAAAGAGTAAATGAGGAAAATAACACGGATGATGACTCTGATTCTGGTGTTGGTTTGAGTTTGGTTACCTTACGAGCCTTAAGCACTATGTCAAGGACCTTTGATGAGGAACAACGAGAAAATCTCTTTCAAACTCGTTGCATAATTGGAGGCAAAGTTTGTAGCCTCATTATTGATAGTGGGAGTTGCACAAATATTGTAAGTGAACTTGCTGTTCAAAAATTGAATTTTCTAACAACACCCCACCCCAAACCATTCAAATTGCAGTGGATTAGCAATTGCGGAGAGTTGAATGTGAACAAGCAGGTGACGGTTCCTATCAAGATAAAAAATTATGAGGATGAAGTCGTATGTGATGTGCTACCGATGCAAGCTTGTCACGTATTACTTGGGAGACCATGGCAGTTTGATAGAAAGGCTTATCATGATGGACATTTGAATAGATACTCATTTGAGTTTGGGAGTAGAAAGATATGTTTGAAGCCGTTGTCTCCAATGGATGTCCATGAGGACCAACTCTACATGCATCGTCAATTTTTGGAAGAAGCCAAAGAAAAGAGAGAAAGAAAAAACAGTGAAAAAAATAAGAGTGAAAAAAGTGAGCATGGGAGTGAGAAAAGTGAGAGCGAAAAAAAAAAAAGAGTGACAAAAGAGAGCAAGTGAGTGAACAACGCAAGAGTGAGCTTGAAAGAAAAATGCTTGTGAGCTTGAGAGAGGCAAAAAATTTGAAAGTTCAAGAGGGAAGTTCTATTTACTTTTGATTAAACCTGTTTATTTGTCTAAGAAAGAGCTAATGGAACTCCGTTCCAATGGTTCTTCTCTTTTGCAGAAATATCAAGATGTGTTTCCTGATGAAGTAACCGGAGGATTACCACCTATTCAGGGCATTGAGCATCAGATGGATCTCATTCCGGGTGCATCAATCCCAAATCATCCAGCTTACAAGGCAAGTCCAGAGGAAGTCAAGGAAATACTTAAGCAAGTGGATGAGTTGCTTGACAAAGGCTGGATTCGCGAAAGCCTAAGCCCTTATGCTGTACCGGTTCTTCTTGTCCCAAAAAAGGATGGTGGATGGAGGATGTGCATCGATTGTCAAGCCGTAAATGCCATAACGGTAAATTATCGACACCCTATCCCTTGTTTAGATGATATGCTAGATGAACTGCATGGGTCAAAATACTTTTCTAAAATTGATTTGAAAAGTGGATATCATCAGATTAGAATGCGGGAAGGTGACGAATGGAAAACTCCATTTAAAACTACATTCGGCTTATATGAGTGGTTAGTCATGCCTTTTGGCCTTACGAATGCTCCAAGTACGTTTATGCAGTTAATGAATCATGTATTACGTACTTTCATAGGGAAGTTTGTTATGGTTTACTTTGATGATATTCTCATTTATAGTAAATCAATGGAAGAACATGTAGAACATATTCATAGTGTTTTGGAAGTGTTAAGAGTTGAAAAGCTTTATGCTAACCCGAAGAAGTGCGACTTTTGTGTCGACAAATGTATTTTTCTTGGTTTTGTTGTAGGTGCTGAAGGGATAAGTGTGGATGAAGCTAAAACACAAGCTATTCGGGATTGGGCAATGATGACTCCAAATGTGAGCATATTCTTAGCTTGACAGAAATGTGTATTACTCGAATTTCTACATAAGAACCATCAAAATAATTCGTAATCGGCATACAATATTGATTTATATCACTAGGCATGATCCAGAGTTCGTTGTTGAGATTATTAACGATTTTTGCCCTCTTAAGCGGTAATCTGGAACCAGAAAAGCTAAGGCAGACGCCGCAAGAGACAGCCGCTTTCGCTCGCAAGCGCCCATAACACATTTTGAAAATACTAAGGCATGAGAGGCAAGCGGCCACCTTCACAGTCCGCAAGCGATAGCCTCTCCCACTTGCAAGCGACAGTCCAGATACCCACCGTTGCAGATTATCACCAGATTTCAACTAAGTACTTCAATTGCAGCGGTACAGCCATTCCAATTCCAGCCAGCACAAGCGAGCCGAGCTGCGCTGATGCCCTCCAGCTCTCTAGCAAGCGAGGAAGATCTGTGCCCTTAACCTTCAACGCAAGCGAAGCGGGCACCCTGGGAGTTATGGCCAGCAACTGCTTCAACATAATAACTACCAGCAACCGCCTAACTGCCCAGCGGTTGGAACTGCCTAACAACTACTTGCAACCGTCTCTTTACACCTGCTATAAATAGGGCTAGATATCTTTATGTAAAAGGATCGAATTTTTGGTGATTTCTGCATATTTTAGCATTCGTCGTCTTCCTGTTTCAGAGAGCTCCAACCATGTAAGGGAGTTCTCCACAGGAATGGCCAAGGGAGTAGGGGTCTTCCATCTCCCTTGGTCACGTCTTTACTGCTTTATTAGATTAGATTATTGCTTTCGTCTACAGCTTTGTAGTTCTAATCTTTCACGCTTTCATAGTATATAAAGAAATATCATTCACTTCTTGAAACTAAATTCTTTCACAATTTTCCACACTTATATAAATCAAGTTTAGAGAATTTCATTTCACTGGTATAGAGCGAGAGAAGAATTGATTATCTAAGCCTTGTCATGCGCCAAAAGCGGTCTCAAGGTAGTTCAAAGTAGTTAAGTACGCGGGAGCCTTGTCGACCTGCTTAACTGCTGTGCTAAATTGGATTTTGATTAAATAATAGTAACATCAGGGGGTAAAGCCACTAATGAGGCAGAAATTGGGAAAATTAACGGGACATAGACGGGGGTCTATTAGGTCGCATAAATTCCTAGTGACGGTAGGATTTCTTTCTTATAATGTCTTAATTCTGGGTGTCATTGAAGTCTTGTTGTAAATCCCCCCAGGCCAAAATTCCAGTGTGATAAGTTCTTTACAATTTAGTTTATATAATTACAACACTTTTCTCCCATCATTTCCATAATATACATATACTCTTCCGATAACACACTTACATCATTCGCTCACTACATCCAGGAAAATCTATCCATTTAGTAACGCACAGATCAGACACAGCACCTCTCCTTCACTCTAATTCGCTCATATACATATATATATAATGTGCCGCTTACTTTTGCCCCGATCCTCTGGTAACCGCGATTCATCCATGCCCCGATCATCTGGTCCTCACTCCCGTTCATGTCCCGATCATTTGGTTACCACTGGCGCTCCACCTCTCACTTTCGCTTCGTTCGTTTCCGCTCACCTCATCTTTATTGCTTTATTTACCGCTTTCAGTAGTTAAATTTCGGACCCGCTGCAAGCGGACCCTTTCTTGTATTCTTCGTCGCTTTCTTCAAGATTTTCACCGTTGAATTTCATGACTTAAAATCCTTGTGTTCGACCTGGAAAACTCACAAGTAAAAAGAGTATAAATAATTGTGATAACTACTCAGGGTCTACAACCACACAATTGCTATATCTGATCATTTTCCTATAAAATCCTTCTCATTAATTTTCGAATAAAATTCCCTGTGAATTTGTATGCAAATTACAATAACAAATTTGGTTATCATAATTTGGTGCCGTTGCCGGGGATTTTAAACTCATGAAAATTATCTGTTGGAAATCTTATGAAGCGCCATAATTTACTTTTAATTCATTGTAATCGTGACTTTTGTGTTTAATTAATTTCTCTAACTTTTAGTTTGGTGTGGCTGCCATTTTGTAGGGGTCCGAAGCGTTTTCAGCGTCCCACGAGTCCTACTCCTTCCGCTCGATCACAGAGACGTCTGTTTAGAGAGCAAGTGCGAGAACAACTCATGGCGAATCAAGGAAATGCCACCGCTCCTTCTACTGTTATCCCAGCTTTCTTGATTGCCGCTGGGACATCTTCAAACTCCGCTACATCTGCATTTTCGCAGGAGGTGCCGCTCCACGTCCCCACTGTGGTCCCTGCTGTCATTCCCCCTGCACTTTCACAGACTGAGGAGCAACTATTGAAAGCCCTCAGTAGCATCCAACAGGGAATGGCGGGGCTGCAAGCGCACCTTGCTCAGGTGGAACAAGCTCAAGCTGCGCAGGGAGCATTTATCGCTTCCCAAGCGGCATAAGCTGCCAACACTGCTGCGATGCCCGCAACCATCACTCCCTCACCACCTACTCCTGAGCCTTAACAAAGGGCTGAGGGACACAGGGCTGCTGATCACCCACTTGCTGAAGTCCCAATGGACGTTCACTACCAGTCCCTTCTGGACACACTTTAATTACAAGTTATGCGCCCAGAGGCTTTGGCCATTATGAGGTGAAACCAGCGCTCATTAGCGTGGCGAGCCAGAGTCAATTTCATGGGCTGCTCAATGAAAGCCCTTACGAGCACCTACAGAACTTCAATAGGATCGCTGCCACCTCCAAATCGCACGGCATCACGGAGGACGCTGCCAAACTGATTTTGTTTCCTTTTTCTTTAACAGGAGAGGCCAGGAAATGGTTTGATAACCTTTATCCCATTCCTGGCTCATTCAAGGAAGCAGCGCAGGCCTTCGTGAGCAAATATCATCCTATTTCAAAGACCATTCGCCAGAGGAATGAAATACTTACTTTCAAGATGGCGAGTGATGAGACTCTTCCTAAAGCCTGGAGCCGATTCAAACAATTACTCCGCAACTGCCCTCATCATGAAATTCCGGACTTCATGGAGCTTCAAATTTTCTACTCAGGAATTACTCCTGAACTTAGAATGTCCTTAGATACAGAGGCAGGAAGCTCGTTGATGGGGCACTGTGCCTCTGAAGCGAGGGCTTTGATAGAGAAATGGCGGCCAATCAGTCAAGTTGGCCAGAGTCCAACAGGCCCGATATCGAGGGGACAGTTTGTCGATCCAAGTTAAGGAGTTCTCTAAGCTCATGAAGCAGAACCTGCGTAATGAAGGAAAACAGGCGCTGCATGAGGCCGCGGAATGTAAGAAAAGAGCTTGTGAAGACCAACAAGGTCCGCAGGTTGCTGAGTGCTCAAATGATGAAGCTCAGAACCTGGCGGAGGTCTTTTATATGGCTGGCAGAAATGCCCCTGAATTCCAGCAGTTTCAAAAGGGGCAGGTGCAAGGCCCCGCTCGACCACGTCCTCAACAACAATTTCAGAGGCCACAACAGTTCGCTGCGCAACAATATCATCAAGGGGGATATTATCCACATCAACAACAATACTATTAAACCCCCCATTTTCCGCAGCAGGCACCTGCATTCGCTCAACCTCCCACAGCGGCACAAGCACCGCTGAGTCTGGAGGAACTCTGGAGTAACACAGAGCGAGCGAATCAAGAGTTCCAAAGAAACACATCTGCTTTGATCAAAATGCTAAAAGTTCAAGTCGGGCAGATTGCTGAAGCTCTGAAGCTGAAGCATAAAGGAACGTTGCCTGGGACAGTCGAGACTGTCCCGAACCAAGCGAAGGCCATCGAGACCAGAGGAGGAAAACGGACGCAATCGCCACCGCTGCCAAACAGAGGTATTGATCAATGTCCTTCCTCTATTGTTGCTAATGTGCCTGTGCAGGATGAAATAAAACAGATTCCGTCTAAGGAGCAAGGTCCATCCCAACTTCGAGCGATACCAGCCGTTCAGGAGTCTGAACCGAAGGAGAGGGGTTCCGCTCAGCCTTTGGCTCGAGCCCCCTTTCCCACACGATTTGGGAAAAAGGACAACTTCAAGGAGTTTGATAAGTTTGTACATACTTTCCGTAGTCTTCAAATTACTATATTGTTTGCTGATACTTTGTCTTAGATGCCACATTACGCTAAGTTTATCAAAGATATAATCAATCGCAAGCGGGCATTTCCTGATGAAGCGGCAGCGGTGCAGCTGGAAAGTGTGTGCAGTGCCGTATTTAAGGAGGACCTCCTGAAGAAACTCAGCGATCCTGGGAGTTTTATCATTATTTGTTCAATAGGAAATTTAGAGCCGATTAGGGCATTATGTGATTTAGGTGCAAGTATCAATCTTATGCCCTTTTCTCTTTTCTCTAAATTAGGGCTTTATGAGTTAGAAGCATGCAGAACTGTAATTCAGCTTGCCGATAAATCAATAAGATTGCCTAAAGGAATCATTCGTGATGTACTCGTGCAAGTGAACAAATTTATTTTCCCTGCAGATTTCATTATTATGGAAATGAGCGAAGACCGCGACATTCCAATCATATTAGGGAGACCTTTCCTTGCCACCGCTCAAGCTACAATAAATGTTGCTGAAGGCAAAATATCATTGAGTTTTGGTGGCGATAAAGTCACATTTTCCATGAACTCAGCACTACGCCAACCTCAGGAAGAAAATTGTGATTTTATTAATGAGTTAAATGAAATAATAACTTTTGAGAACCATATTACATTTGATAACCTGGAAGGAGTTTCAGATAATGGATCACTTGAACTGGAAGATAAAAAGGATTCAGCTGAGACAAGCGACGATACTCAAGCGCCTACTGAATCCATTGAACAAGGGACGAGGGAACCAGCGATCGAGGCCAACAATAAGGATGAGCTGAAGAAATTACCTGAGCACCTCAAATATATATTCCTTGGCCCGGAGGAGAGTTACCCGTTGATAATCTCCGCCTTACTATTGCCGGACCAAGAGGCTCAGCTCATCTCACTTCTCAAAAAGAATCAAACGGCGTTTGCATGGAAAATC